TGCGAGTGCTTATCCAGTATTTTCTGCAAAAGTTTGAGTAAACTTGCCCCTTAATTATTCTTTTTCAAAGCCTTCCAAAAAAACCACTCCCGCTGATGCGAACTCTAGACTCGATTAAAATAAATGCTTATCATCACAAACTAATCCAGTTCTTTATATATTCTTCTCAATTTTTTAATATATTGTTAAGTCTAGGTTTCTTTTTCAAAGCCTATGAAAAAAACAGTCCTCCTGACAAACTGCTGAGTCAGCTGAAATAAATAGTCATCATCATAAAGTGGAACCAAAACCAAAACCAAAAAAACAAACAAACAGATAAACAATCAATTATAACCAAACAAAATGACCACGCCAGCAAAAAATGCCGGCTCCTTCATTTCTATTCCAATACAAAACAACGTCTCAATTTCAAACTCATACATATTCCATCCATTCCAGCCAATTACTTGAAATCGTTTGCACATTAAATTTCCTGAAATGAGATTGGATTTTACAAATATGCTAGAGGAAAGTTAACAACGTCATGCAAATTACATTCAATTCCTGTAATAACATCAATTTGATGTTTGTTGGAACATCCAAATTAAGCGACGAAAAAACTGTTTCTGTTACTAAAGTGATGAGAACAATTCTCAATTTTTTAATGAAAATAAAATATTTTCGTCACCTTTAAGTGCAATAACTTGTTAACTCTTAATAAATTTAAAAGGACTTAACTCGTTAATTTTTTTTTAAAAAGAAAATAAAATATTTCGTCACCTTTAAGTGCAATAACTTGTTAACTCTTTATAAATTTAGAAGGACTTCACTCGTTACTATACACAGGTGATAATTTGTTCTAGTGGGTGTTAACGAAGATTTTTTTTAAATGAAAAATAATAAATATAAATTTTATGGTAATTTTAAGATAAGCAGACAAAGTTACTAAAGAATACTGCGACATTGGTGCCATGTAGTTTTAATAAAAAGAAGAAAAAAATGGAGATGGAAGAGTCGTAGATGAGTTGTAGACTCTTCAAACACTCCCACTTAGCCTTTAAATTTATCAATAATGTTGTTTTAAAGCTGCATTCTTCCAATTATGTAAATAATATTATCAATTATTTCACAAAATTGTTTGAATTAGAAAAATTAATGTGTTAAAGTACAGAAATAAAGAAATGACCAATAACTCGTCAAAATTGTTTAAACAACCCTTACGAACCCTTAATACTAACTGACACTTCAATGTTAAAATAAACTTATTTTAAAGTATAATAATGCATCTATGTACCCGCAATTATTCTGCACTTATATATACATACTATGCACTTACTTACATACCTGCAATACTTATTCACTTACAATTTGCATTTGTTGTCACTTACATTGCACTTATCAACACTAACATTGCACTTACCAACACTTACATTGCATCTATTGACACTTATATTGCACTTACAGACACTTATTTTGCACTAAGTGATACTTATTTTGCACTTAGTGACATTCATTTTGCAATGAGTGACATTTATTTTGCAATGAGTGACACTTATTTTGCACTAGTTGACACTAACATTTCACTAACCTAACAGACACTTACTGTGCACTTTGATACTTACTTTAAACTTATTGGCACTAATTTACATTTACTGGCACTTACTTTGCACTGATTGTCAATTACATTGCACTTACTGGCACTTACTTTACACTAACTGGCACCTACTTTGCACTGATTGACAATTACATTACACTTACTTTGCACTTATTGACACTTACATTACACTTACTTTGTACTGATTGACAATTACATTGCAATTACTTTGTACTTATTGACACTTACATTGCACTTATAAACACTTACATTGTACTTACTAGCACTTACTTTACACTAACTAATACTTACTTTGCACTTATTGACACAATACTTTGCACTTATTTAATCTTATTTTGCACTTATTGACACTTACTTTGCACTTACTTAAACTTACTGTTCTTACCTCAACTTACCATTCACTTACATAAATGTTTAAACCAACTTTAAAAGGAACTGGCTCCTAATAAAGACAGATTTCTTCTCAATTGGTTTCTTTCCCAACAACTTGTCTTCACAAATTCATATTAAAGTTTCCACATAAACAACCCTTTGCAACAAAACCAATTTCAGCCTTCAACTCGAGTTATTTATTGAGTCAAGCGAAAATGTGATTTAAAATGCCAGAAAAGCATTGCCCATGCATGAAAACAGTTTAAAAGCAATTTAAAACAGATTTATCTATACATGTGTCTAGTTTGAATTTCTAAAATTGCATTTAAATAGCAACGAAACAAACAAGACAGCTACCTTTTTCTTCCAGGATGACACAAAAATTTCATTTCAGGTTTCATCTGAATATTGCAGATAGAACTTAATCTTTATTTTGATTTTTGTTTTGGGGGGTAATGCAGGACTAAAAAGGTGAACTATTTTCTAGTTTTTAAGTACAGTACGGCGCGAAATATATTCAGACAAAATGGTGGTTTCCATTATTTTTTAAGTGCCATTTTGCCTAAATATATATTGTACTATTATCTACTATACTGTAATTTCTATTTAATGCAATAAAAGTTTTGGGTTAGAATTAAGAATACGTGGAAAATCAATATGACTAACATAGTCAAACCTCTATTTAGAGGCCTATCTCAAAAATTTTAAGCAATGACCTTTGTTAACAGGTAGAGATGGTCATTTTACACAGGTAAATTTCTAAGGAAAATGTTTAGTCTGAAAAACAAAGTTCTTGCCACTTACATCTCATGCATGACCTTTCAAAGGCAATAAAACCTTGCTTTTGTTCCCGGGCATGGAGTCAGACAAAGCTTTACAGATCAAGGGTTGACTGCAAAACTGCAGTTAAGAAGGACTTACAACAGTGTTGCGGTCAACCCTCGAGATGGCTACACAATAATACTTCAATTATATTATGGTTGGTTTGCTTTACGTGGCACAACTACTGTAATGGTTATATAGTGACTTTCTCACTAACTGGTGGAGGAATACCTCAGGTGCCCTTCCATGCAATATTTCAGACACAAACAGTCACCTGAGTAGACCCACCAACATTCTAATAGCTGGCTGGATTAAACTTCCCTACATGAGACTCCAAAGTCCCTGGCAAGATTCAAACTCACATTGGTTACATGGGCAAGTGGTTTGTAGTCAACGACCTTAACCACTCAGCCACAGACATCCCGCATACATTTTGATACTTAGATTACATAAGCTAATGATATACTGATCCAAGGCCAAAGCATGACATAAACTCTGCAGGAGAATGGTTCTATTCAGAGATCTTCAGTAAAGGCGTTACTGCATGTATTTGGCTCTGAAATCATCTTACATAAAACCATTCATTACCCTAATGTACAAAAAACAACAATTTCACCAAGTGATTCAGAAAATTACATCTTTTTGATTCAAATTGATTCTTCCTTACTTTTTAGTTTTTTGTCTCAGCAAAATTTAACTTAAGGAATAAAAGGAGAAACTTTTTCAGATCTCAGATGATTCAGATTGGTTAAAAGTGTATTAATTATCCAAATAAAATACATTGTATAAAGTAAGCAAGTTTATGCATTTTATCAGCGATTTTTCACATTTTATAACAGATACCTATAAATAAAAAAGTATCTTTACAATTATACAGTTCTCTCCAAAAATTCAAACTGACATCAGCTTTATCAACAGTTTAAGCCATAATTCTTCCAAAAATTAAGAGGCTAAGGCTTCACCCATAAATAAGGTGGGAAAATATTACATTGTTTTATACCAAATCTTTTTAGTGTGTTTCTTTAAGTAAGGCTGAAACTGTAAAGTTGATGACCAGTTCACTGACTTTACAGCTTTCACCCTTTTCATTCTGTTGCTAGAAGCCATCTATCAATCTCCCATATAACAGCACCTCAGAATCATCATCTCCCATTCATGTGCCCATGCATTTACACCTGGGCAAAGTGAAGCAATGTAAAGAAAATTTGCAATGTCCTTGTCCTTGTCAAACCACTGCTCCCCAGAATATGTTTCATTACATTTTTTAACCGTAACTAAATTTCTAAATTAGAATACACTCCTTTTGAAACAGTTGATGGGCCGCCCTTTAGATTTAACCCTTAAACTGCTAGAAACAAATTAGCCTTTGCCACCAGTATAGAGCCAGGCCAGTGTGCATATCTATTCAGGCTCTTTACTCTTGTATGAATAACTTAAATTTTTCATCCTGACATCTCCAAATTAATAATGAAACCGTTCCAAAAATGGAAGCCAGACAAGTCTTTATAGAATTTCAGGATGTCAGCGTAAAAACAACTCTCTCTGAAAAATTAAAATTTTCTTTAAGGGTGCAAAACCTTTCACCTGTATTTCTGAGTTTATTGACCAAAGACTGACCTATTGGTAGGGGATCCTACTACCAACATAAGCAGCATGCCTTAAATTTAAAATAATTTTCCATATTAATACCAGATATGGTCTTTCTGTCTTTCCTTTCATCTGACAAATAAATTTAGACATTATCAGCATGATCTCTGGATGGAGCATATTGTACAGAAAGAAATTACAAAGGAGACTTAATCATGTTTGTTATAACAAAACAACAACAAACAACAACAAAGCATCAAAGCTAGTCAGTTATTTAAAGAGCAAAGGGGAGTAAAAGAAATAGCAATGATTGAAACAAATATAGATGTAGAAAGTTAGGACAAATATGGAATAAGATTTCAGGGTGGTAAATAATATAAAGATATTAATATGCTTTTGAAGACTGTTCAGAATACAAAATGTAACGGTCATGAACCATCAAAAATGAACTTTTTCTTTTCTTTGTTTTTGTTTTGTTTTTATCAAATTCAGCAAAAAAACATGACTGTGATTTTAAACAACATCATTCTGCTGTGAAAAACAGCTTCTTAAATCATTTTTTTTAAAAACTTATAAACCAGCAAGTTATTTCTCCCCCCCCCCCCCACAAAAAAAAAAAAACAGCTCAGGTCATTGCAATTGGTTGGTACTTGTCTGTTTTTCCTCCAGCATTTGACAACTTCCCCACTTCTATTTGAAACAGCTGTGGAGGACAGAATATTTTTACACAAACATTTTCTCTAGGATCATCACAGAGTAACAAATATGTCACCAAGATCCACAATCTCTTGCCTACAACCAGAACATGTGAATCAAAGATAATAATTCTTTAGTAAGAAACCTTATCAACATCAACAACTACCACTCCTGAAGTAACATACATTGTATTTTGTTCAATCAAGTTTTTCATGAAATACGACAGAGCCATATAGCTTTATACCCTATAAATCTTTTCTTTGAAGTTTGTATTTTAAGAACCACTGATTCTTTCAGAAATGGAAAATGTCTGTATTTTGCACTTAGGTTCCGCCTAAACAAGAAATTAAATTACTATTTTTGAAAATAATTTACAAAAAAAAAATCTGAAAACGGAACATTTATTTCATAAAATGTCTAAGTCTCAAAACAATTCTCTACCAAAATTACTAACTATCTATGCAAATATTCCTTTAAAACTCAATTATATGAAATCAAAAACAATTATTTTCATGCAAATGTCTCAAAATTTCAAGTAGTCTGGAACATAAAACACTTCAAAGGTTCAATTAAATATTGTTTACGTTAGCTAAGGGAAAACTTATTTTTCCTATAAGATAATGACTCTTTGCTTAGAAAATAGAGAAAATAAGAACCCCTTTAGAAAGTCCAAAATGCAAAAATGAAAATGTTGCAGACTCGGTTTGATTAAAACCGTAAAATTTATTTATATTTATTAATTATAATATCAAAATATTAACAACTATGGTTCTTGAAGTAGCATACAATGCTTTTTGTTCAATCTAATTTTGGGGCATCAGTGTCTTAATCAAGATCACTGTACAAGTCATTTCCAGCTTTAACCCAGATCACTACATTGTAACACTACCACAGTAGACATTCTGCTGGTTAGATGGATTCAGTGACATGTATTTCACATAAAAAACTTAACCACATGGTTAAATGATTCATTCTACAAACATAACTATTAAGCCATGGCCATGGCTAAAAAAAGTACATGTATTGTAATAGCCATGGCTAAAATAAGTAATTGTATATCTTGCCAATAATTTACAATATCATCCTTGAATATTTTTATGGTATGGTAATAAACTGTAACAATTATTATAAAATTTCTGTACTTACAAATGGTGTGATATCAGCTTGAGGTCTGCTTCTGAAAAACATGAAGGAAAGATAACTCATGATACCAAATCATTAAATAATTTCACTAAGTAGTCTCCCTTTTCCAATTAATTTTGAGTAAAGATTTTCAAAATATTTTTTAAAGAATGATTATTCATCAGAACATTTAACTATTGTATCATGCTAAATATCTTAAATGGACTTGTCCATCTTTCAATCAGGACAAACTCATTCATCATTTTTAGGGAAAATTTCAAAAGAGGCACTGATTGAAAAGTGAACAATGCACAAGATGATCAGACGCTTCTAAAGTGCTGGCTAATCTTGGCCTGCACTTGTAGAACTGTTGCTGCAACTAGGCTAAGGTAAGTTAAGAAATTCATGTAAAAATTAAACCATTTGACTTGTATCCAGAGGACCAATATCAATTTACATTACTTGTTTACTATATGATGCAGAAGCATAAACACTTTGATACATTTTGCCCAATCTTTGAAATATTTAAAACTGCCACTTTTCATCAAAACCATCTCATTTTGATAAAAAAAAAAATTAGAATTGATTAAATATTTGGATAACACTCAAGAAAAAATTAACATTTGAACTTTACAATATTTTGGATTAACTTTTAAAAGCAAATTTTCATGAAAACTATGCATACAATATTAAATTTATAACAAAATCAATTTATTTTTTAAATTTCAATTCTATTAATCATTTACATTTTAAGAAATTAACCTATTTATAACATGAACAATGATGAAATTTAAAAATATCAATTTTGAGCCTGAGTTTTAAAGGAACTCCACTGAGGTTCAAAGGTCTACAACAATAAATTTAAATTTCTTACATATACTTTTAAATAAATATTTTTGGTCTGAATTAATAATGAATCTTACCTTTGAGATGTAGCAATTTCCTGGAAAAAAAGAAAAGAAATAAATTAATATTAGAGAAAATATTGTCTTTGGCAATGCAATTATTATATTGCAAATTCTAATATTTCACAGAAAATATTGCCTTTGGCAATTATTATATTGCAAATTCTAATCAATTTTCAAGACCAATTAATTTTCTATAATTATTTATGCTAACAATGAAATTTTTATTACGAGTTTTAATTACGTTATTTATTAATAAGAAAGAGATCATAATGAAAACAGTCAAACAAATTTTCACTAATTATAATTAAGTCTTTACCAGCTGTATTTCATAAATGGACTTGTCCCAGATTACATTTTTGGGATTGTCCATTATTGATTTTGGGGATGTAAAAATGAAAAATAAATGTTAGGCAACAGTAAAAAAAAATACAGCCTTGTCAGACTGCATGTATGTGCGAGTGTCTGTGCTTAAGTGATTTTATAAAAAAAAAATTCTATGTAAACAATACTATTATAATATAAATTACAATATGCATAAAGCTGTATACTTTTTGATTTCTACATAGCATAGTTTCAATTAGCAAGTATATGTTAAAGTAAAATGTAAATTGCTATGAAAAAATATAAGAAAGCTACTATTATGTAATAGTTTCTATAAAATGGACCAAATAAATTTTGATTAATGTATAAATTAGCACAAAATTGACATTAAAATCAGTTACATACATAACTATTAAGTAAACTATTTCAGTATTTTCAATTTACCATATACTTATAATAATGAAATATTAAGAAATAATGAAATAAAATGCGTGTTTTAACTTTCCATATTTTCACATTAAAATTTATTTTTCACTGCAGTCAGGGTCCTTCAAATAAAAGGAAGAAAGACCCTGCTGCAGTGAAACATATTTTCCATGTTTTCACTAGTATCTTGCCAGACTTCTTTTGTTCTAAATTCAGCTGACTACACAAAATTAAAGGGGAAGTCTTTTGAATTGTAAGGTCAAAAAAGAGAAAACAGTATACAATAAACAAAAAATTCAAGTTTTTTCTATAAATATTTTATCTCATGGTATGAAAATTATCAAATTTCACTTGTTGCTACCACCACTCATCAAATATTTATTTTCATGTGAATCGATAAAAATAAATCCTGTATTTATAGAAAAACTTGAATATACTCTATCTATTTATCTAATAGTCAGGTTACAATAATTATATTACATTCAAATTTTTTTCTGCATTTGACTATTTTTTTTTAACTCATATTTGATCTCATCAGACAGATTTTTTCCTGGAGTTCATGGTCTTTTATGAACTTAAATAAACAAGATGTCTTCATAAAGCAAAGTGTCCCCCATGTCCTCAGCAACACCACTTGTTCCCTTTTACCCACTTTTATTACAAAGACATTGAATGTGTCACACTACAAATCTAGGTGCATTTACAAGAAGAAATACGGTACAATACAAAATTGATTCAGTTCAACATAAGAACAGATTAAGAAAAAACTAGTGCACAAGTTTACCGGAAACTTAAAGAGGTCATCTTCTTCATCAAACTTAAAGCAGAATTTACAGATTTTGAATTGCAAAAGAAAATTAATTAAAAGCCCAGCTTGATTACAAACCAGTCCTAAATAGTAAAATAACATGTTACAGTCCTGGTAAAAACTGATCTGCAACAAAAATTTGACTTATACCTGACGACAATTTACAAAAGTATCAAGATCTAAAGCATATTCTGTTTCTAAAATTAAAAGTTTCTAATTTGCATTTGAAAAGAAATTAAAATGCATTTCATCTAAATCAACACTATACTTGTATTCATCAACTAACAAATTAACAGTCTATTCACTAAGAAGCATCAGTTTTCTAATTTACCACTTATTTATCTTCAACTAACAACTAACATCCTAGTTATTAAGAAGCAGCATTTTACTTGTATATCATCAACTAAGATCCTACTCATTAAGCTTGTTTATGTCAGTAGCATGTGCAGAATCAAATTAAACCTCTTTGTCCGATTTCCTTCTCTTTGCTATAGGCCTTCTCTTTACATTGTATGCAGGTATCTCTTCATTGTTATCTTCATTATCTTCAGTCTCAGTGCTAGAAGCTCCAGACAGTGTCTTCTTACCAGTAACGTGTTCAGTATTTGCCACTTCTTTACCATTTTCAAAACAACTGAAACCTAGGGATGTGATTTCTTCATCATCATTATCATCATCTTCTTGTCCTTCAAAACCTTTTCCTTTGCCTTTAGGGAAGTCACTTTCATTCTTTTGCTTAAATCCATTTTCAAGCTTTGGCTTTTCAGCATTCTTCCTTCCAATTCTATGGATATTCCTTGAAGCCTTTTCATTTCTATTGACAGAGCCCTTACCTTTAGGTGTGTCCTTTTCATCTCTAGGTTTATTATCAGAAACATTTATCTGCCACTTATTATCCTCCATATCTATGTCATCAAATGTTTTCTTTCCTGTTGAATATTCAGTTTTGGGGGTTTCTGAGGCATTATCCATTCTTCTTTTTCTTTCTTTTACTTTTTCAACATCTATGTCACATTTGTTCTTCCAACCTTTATTTTCAAATACTGAGGCCCACTTGCTCTTATATTTCCTATGTTTTACAAGACTCTCTGGGTCCAACTCATTCAGGTTTTTATTAGAATGATCAAAATCATCATCTTCTCCTTCTATACTTTCATCAATGTTATCTTCATAAGCCATCTGTCTTGTTCCTCGTCTTGTCTTTCTACTTTTACCTTTACCCACCTTCTCATTAGGATTATCTTCATTATACATTCTATTTATTTCATTTTTTTTTAACTTTTCAAAATCTTCATTCCCTTTGTTTCTCCAACCTTTATTTTCAACAATGGAGACCCACTTATTTTTATATTTCTTATGTTTCATTTGTGGCTCAATATCTGGATAATCCTTCTTCTTTAAGCTTTTGTCTGACCGTTCATCTACATTTTCATCAATGTTTTCTATCTTCTTTTTAGACAGATACTTTGCCTTACCAATTTTACCACTTTCTTCTTCATCCTGACTGTTTCTTTTCTTCTGGTACTCTCCATTAAAGTCTTGTCTCCTCCAAGCTTTATTTTCAACAGCTTCCACCCACTTGTTTTTACGTCTCTTATGCTCAGTATGACCTGCTGTTTGATCTTTTTCATATTCAGCAGTGCCCTTGTCACTTTTGGGTACATATTTTGCATTAGGGTAGATTCCATTTCCATTTATGATACCAGCCTTTCTGGAACCAACTGTTTGTATGCCAATATCTTTCATAACCTCTTTTTTTGGGTAAAGTGGCAAGAATGGCAACCTTTGAAATTCCTAAATTTTCATATCAATAAAACAATTGTATAACAAAAAATCAAAATAGTCAATAATGCACGGTAAATGCACCTTTTTTCATAATGCATCTGCAAAATCACGAGAACACATTTAAAGCTCAAACAAACAAGGCAAGGGATGTATTAAGTCCAAAAACTTATACAGATGTTAATACATGAAAATAGGTACATACGGGCTAATTCTTGCATAAAAAGTACCACAGAATTGGCACAAATCTGCATTGTTATCTATATTTCTTAAAAAGAAACCATTGTTTGTGCCATGTTTTCCACATGCTCGTGTGAAGTTACTTGACATTTATGTTTTGATAATAATAAAATTATCGGAGACGTCATTGCATTTAGCTGGCATGTTAATGTATACCTGCCTGCAGTCAATTTTTATGCAAGAATGCCAATTTCTGAAATAAATTTTGCATAACTAAATTAAAATATTACACATTTTTCAAATTAGTATAGAAAAGCTCAGGCTTATGTTTCTCCCAATGTTGTTACACTGTATATAAATTGCCTTGATCATCTGGTACTAAATGAGCCGCGTCACGACAAAACCAACATAATGGGACCAGCATGGATCCAGACCATACGCGCAGTCTGATCAGGATCCATGCTGTTCGCTATCAGTTTCTCTACTTGTAATAGAGTTGGTAAATGAACAGCATGGATCCTGATCAGACTGCGTGGATGCGCAGGCTGGTCTGGATCCATGCTGGTTGCAAACCCATTATGTTGGTTTTGTCGTGACGCGGCTCATATGTTAATTCACCACCTTTAGCTTTTGCATATTGTAATGCTCATTATGAGTATTATTACATTCTACCAACATCTATACATAAATATATACCAATGAATTTTGACCATTTTTCCCTCAGAAGAACTAAGAACTCATAACATCATGCATATTACCAAAGTTAAACAACCATTATTGTATTTCTTAGCTACAAAAAAACTAAAAAGAAACACCCCAATTACATATTATAGATATTTACTTTTAACTTATACAAAATTTAATGTCAAATGCCTAAAAAGTTTGATACTTACTTTTATGATCACTGGCTCACTTTTTCTAGGAGTTGGTGTGGACACTGGAGTCGAAGTCTGTGTCATTGGAAAGGTTTGGTCTTGGAATGGTAGTTTCCGGAATTGCGGACCAGCTGAGTGTAAATCTCGGTGATTCTTGCCCACTCTTCCCATCTTCGTCACATGTTCATACATTCCAGGGAATGTTTCCGTAACAACCTGTACATAAAGTTGTTTCATGTATGCCGAATTCAATTATTTACACTTGATTTTTGTTAGATTTTATTTTTATATAAGATTACACAAAAAACATTTTCTTTGTTACATATATATATACCACAGGTGTTCCGCACGTTGATTGGTCAATGATACATATATACTGTATACTAAATATATATGTACTGGTTGGAGAGATAACTCCGACACTAAATCACATACTTTTTGTAATATCTTAATTATCTTCCTGTATATTTTAAATATTGAACCACATTACACTACAAAAATTATGTATGAAAGTGAGAATTGGTACTTCTTCAAGGTCCTGAATGGGGTATACAAAACATGGACTTTTTACCCCACAACAGTAGATAAAGTCGACACTAAAATTTTTAAGTAAAAAATGACAGGAAAATCAGCATCATCAATTTATTTTTACATCTTATATGTTTTATCTATTTTTTGTTGATGTAAAAACAAGTTTTCAAAAATATTTCCCAAGTCAGTGGCCTGTGGTCAATACATTTCTAACTGCCTCATTGTAATTTAGTAAAAAGAACGTTTTGAAGCAGTTTTTGCCAACGAAAAGTTTCGGTTAATTGAAAAATATTAAAAAGTTTACCAACTTACAAAAAATCATCACATTCTGTCCTGCTCCTATACTACTAGGTGACCATATGCTTTTTTGTTGAAAAACAAAGTTATAAAAATTATATTTATCAAGTGTCGGAGTTATCTATGTGTCGGAGTTATCTCTCTGACCAGTATCTTTTTTTTTTTTTTTTTTTTTTTTTTTGGAAATAAAGGAAATTAATTAAAAAGCATATATCCAATGTAAAAACAAATTTTAAGTGAAAAATAACGCAGTTGACATTGAACACCTGTGGTATTTACATATAGATCAACAGTATGCAATATTACACAAGATATTCTATAAATATAAATGTGTTCATGTACCAAACAGGACAAGAAGTTCTTTCAATAAAATGCATATATAAATTTTTTTTAAATCTTAAACAAATATATTGTGCTTTCTTAAATCTTAAACAAATATATTGTGCTTTAAACCTGAAATTCTAATTGTTTTTTAAGATATTTTATACCTTTAACAGGGAATTGCTGCTAGTTTTGATATTAGATTGTCAAGCATCATTCTATTTAACATATAAATATTCTGGCACTGTATGGCACAAGTCAAACAGACTTGCTTCATCTGCTTAAACATAAAGCTTTTTTACACATTAACTAATATGTTTATCAAAGCATATCTTAATGTCTTAACAAGCTATAAGCAACTCCAAAAAATTAAAATAAATAAATAAAACATTGGAGGCACTGAGTCTATTTAATTGATCTCTGTACCTACTTCAGGGGGTCACATTTTCTAACTTGAAAAAGGATGCAGGGAAAATAAACTGATTTTGTAAGCAAATTGCACAAATGTTAAAGAATTTTGTTTGAATCTTGGCACAAAATGATAATAGGCCACAAAATACAGTGCCTGGGATCATTCATGGGCTTAATTAGGTATCAAAGGGATAAGATTATGTTGCTATCAGTTGAAAATCATAAGTGTATTATTTTCCCAAACCATAGAAAATTCTTAATTGAAAGTTACAAATTAAAAATATAGAATAACAATTCTAAAATCATGGGTTCGAGCCCTACTTGGGTCACGACCATATTTCTTTGTATGACACCGGTACTGGTTGGTTCCAAGAAGCTGACTCGAAAGTGATTAATATAAGTTGCAAGAACTTGTTTTGCAATCAAGCTTAAAAAAATATGTTTAAACCAATTCTAAAATCTTTGAAAATAAAGGCTTCTTCACTGTTATAGTGCTTAAATTTTTGAAGATGCAATCCTAGACAAAGATTCTTTACATTCATTTAATTACTGTAAAATTTCAATCATGCATTTTTTCCCAATTTTCTAACAAAACATCGCTGAAATTCCCAATTCCATGGGTATGGATCATGTTCCTAAAATCCTTGAAAAAAAAACAACCTATATTACAATATCTTAGTGAGCTTTAATAATAAACATCAAAACAGTGGAAAACAAGTTTTATGTTCAGGACATGTGACCAGGTTGTAATAATATGCCAAATATAATTTGACATACACTTAAGGATTTGCAAAATTAATTCAGCTATGATTCATACAACATGTATACAAGCGCAAAACAATAACAAAAAGTAACTCGCATAATCGCAAGTGTCTTTGAATATGTTGTATTATAGGTCTATCAATTAATATGCACACAGAGCGTGCACTTGAAATATATAACACAGACACGTGTTGCTAGTTCTATCGTTTAATGACCACTGAATGTTCCAAGTATGTATAAGTGGCGGGAAGATAATGGACATGAGCATAACAATCTAAGATAATATTAAGATTAAACATATGTACACAATATACAACAAATAAACATTAAATCTCGTGTAAACTGGAAGTTGAAAAAGTCACATACCATTTCTGCCATATTGCTGTCTTGGATTTCTTCACCAGGAAATATTGGCTGAAAATGTAAATCTCCGGAAGGACTTCTTGTGTAGTCTCTGTTGAAGTTTAAAGACTCAAACTCATGTCCTGCAAACTCACTTCCATCAGGATAACTCTCAAAACTGAAAAATGTGGAATGACATGTTTATCTCATTAACTTTAGAACGCTACATGTAAACAAGACATCTCGATCAAGATTCTAGTATTACAAAAATTGTTGAATCCTAGCTTAAGGTCTTCAGCTTACCCATTTATATACTATGACATGACGTGAACCCTGAAAACAGGCCAATTAACGTGCCAGGAATCTGACACGCTCATATAAATTCATGGAACATGCCATGAAGTAAAGTGATAAATTCTTGTATAATATACGTTATACGTAAAAAAATTTCTATTTTTTTAAATACAATAATTGTTATTTTGATCTGGCAATAGGTATATTTATTAAATAAATGGTCTATATCTTAAATAAAGTACTTGTTATTTTGAACTGGTAATTATATATTCATAAAACTTGTGAGTGAAATATGGATGAAATAAACACTTACTTTTATTTTCATCTTTTCTAAATAGAAAATTTTATTTGATTCATTATCATATGATATTTGTGTGTATTCATGTATCACTTTTGAATGTCATCATACTGTAAAGAATTCCAATTTCTCTATCTACAAAAAAAACCTGTCCAGTAAGTATTTAGTTCTGCTGCTGGTTAACATCTATCCCTCCGCCTTTATCGGGAGGGAGTTTTACTTTCAGTTGGATGGTTAGACTCACTGGGTAAAATATGGTATACAATATCCTGTGAGGTTGCCAGTAGTAATTCTATTACTGCTATGATAGAGAAATATTGACTTATTACTTATAACATTATTTTTTGTCTAATATTTTACTCTAAGTTTCATATTACACTTTATGTTACCATGAAATCACATGATGTTATAATTGTTTTATTTATCTATTTTTGCATAACAAAGTCTAAATAAAACATTCTCTGTTCTATATAATTTACAGAAAATTCAGTTTGTTAAATTGTTTATGAATAAAACATTTTGTTTCTGTTTTTCATTTGTTTACTTGTGAATACCACAACAAGTGAAAAAATTGTTTGTTTTATACACCTCTAAGAGAATGAATCACACGTTTATGAGAAAATCTTTGATATCCTCTTATCTATAGTTTTCATTCATTGAATGTGTTATTCATTTAGAAATAACAATGAAAAAGAATGTTTCAATTTTTGATATAAAATTAGATGAAACATATAAACATATGCCAATCTTCTACAAAAAGTTTTTTCTTCCATAAGTAAAGTTTACTTGTTTATTGGCAAAAATGGTATTTCTTTCTTTATATACAAGCACATTTTTTTATATTTTTGAGGTCATTATGTTATTTTTAAGAAGTGTTTCTCTGGGTTCATGTACATATTGTACTTACTTACAGTCCTAGTTTCTTCAAAAACATTTTTGATACTTTAGATTCTTTTGATGATAATGACTCTCTAATTATTTTGTGGAGATTACAAACCTTGTTCAAAATCCTGACTTAGATTATTATAACTATAAATCAAAAAACAATAATGTAAAGGCAAGAAATTTTTTTTAATAAGTATTATTAAAGAAAAAGACCCTCATTGATCCCTTTAGAGAACTGCATGGTAATATGAAAAAAATAATACATGTGAGACGAACCAACCCTATACAACAAGGTCGACTAGATTTTTTTTCTTATATCCAAATAGTTTTATAATCAGTATGTACGAAAATGTGATATTGTACATTAGTTATAATCTGACCATATCAATAATATATTTAGATTTTTGTTTTAGTCTGTAAGTCATGGAAAAGGTTTATGGAAATTTAAATAATGCTCTGTTATATGACATTGAATTCCTTGATATTATAAAAAAAAAAAATAGATGAAGTAAATTACAATATTGTTAAACCAAAGTATACCAATATAGACTATGTTTTAGATCCAAAAAACAAAGATGGTAAATTTTTTTTATAAATGAAATGAACTTTTTTTAGAAACTCTTTCTTGATGGAAATAAGAGGTAAAACTATATCTTACAGAGCTCTTTATAAGGTAAAGAAAGAAAATACTTATGAAAAAAAAAGTTAATTGAAGAAATTAATCTTATAGAGCAAAACTGACAATTGAAATAAAGACAAACTTTTACACTTACAGAATGAATTGACTGAATTAAGAAATAGAAAAAATAAGAGGTGCTATGATAAGGTCAAGGTCACAATGGATTGAATCTGGAGAAAACCTACTAGTTATTTTTTAAACTTAGAAAAAACACATTGTTCAGATAAAATTATTCCTTTTCTAGAACTTTTGATGATGGATCCTTTAATATGATAAAAAAAGGATATTCTTACAAAGACATGTAGTTATTATTGAAAATTTTATATAAAATGTTGATATAACTGAAGAATTTCTAAGATTGAATTATGGAATTAGAAAATTGTAATGTGTACCAAGTTGTCCTCAAAATGAAGCCATTGGGAATCTTGAAAGGTCTACTTTCATATTGATGAAGTTTCTTTTAGCCTACCATTAAAAAACCTGATTATTAAATGAAAAATGAAATCTTTTAAAAGCCAGGTTGTGACGGATTTAAACAGCAAATTTTTTTAAATATTTTGGAATAGAATTGGACATTTTGTTTGTAAAAGCTATAAAACTTTGCTTATACTGTTAATTTCTTTTTTAAAGAAATCAAAAGCTAGGAACAATAAACATGCATTTCCAAAAGAAAAAAAACCAAAACAATTTTTTAAAAAATTGGAGACCAAATAACTTTATTAAATGTAGTTTATAAATTAGCTTCAGGTTCCATAGCAAATAGACTTAAACTTTTTAGATATTTAGTTTTTCAAAAGGATCAGACAAGGATTTGTTAAAAAAAGATATATTGGTGAAACACTCGATTATTGTATGATATTATGAAATATACTGAGGATAATGATATACCAGGTTTAGTAATTGATGATAGATTTTGAAAAAAAGCCATTTGATACGTTATCATTTCATTTATAGAGAAATGTCTAGAACTTTTTTCAATTTGGTCCTATGTTTAAAAAATTGGATATCTTTATTTTTATATAATACTGAAAACTTGTGTTATTTTAAATGGATATTTATCAAAGTTTTTCAAAAAGTTAAACGAGGTTGTAGACAAGGCGATCCTATTTCACACTTATATCTTCATTTTAATGTGCAGAGATTTTAGCAATAAAAATAAGACAAGTAAAGGATGTAAAGGTATAAATATAGATGGGGAAGAATATAAAATTACACATTTGCCTGATGATACTTCACTTTTGCTAGATGGATCAGAAAATTCCATTAATACTGTTTTAAAGTTATTAAACACGTTTTTCAGAAATTTCAGGATTGAAAGTAAATTTTGATAAAACTAAAGTTATTTGGATAGGCTCTCTTAAATACAGTACAAGATCTATTAAGACAAAATGGAAACTGACATCGGGGTGATACACAGTTTAATAATTGTTAGGTTTGATATTTGAATGTTGATTTAGAAAAAAATGATAGAGTTAAATTTAATGAAAAAACTTCAAAAAGTTAAAAATAGTATAGGATACTGGAAAAAAAGAATGTTTAACACCTATAGGAAAAATTACTGTGTTAAGTCATTACTCCTTCCTTTATTCACTCATTGCTTTACAAGTTTACCAACACCTAATTCAGCATTTTTGAAAACACTTTAATGACTTATTTTATAAATTTATATGGGAAGGTAAAGCAAAGATAAAGCAATCAGTAGTTATTAAAACATATCAGGAAGGTGGTCTAAATATGGATTTGATATTGATAGTTATATACATTCTGGTAAAGATAAAATGGTTTAAAAGATATGTTAGTAATAGTAACAGTAAATGTTATAAGCTAGTGATGGCTTATATTCAAATATTGATAAAGTGTTTTAGCACAGGGTAAATTGGTTTTGTAAATTGACAATTTGATAAAAATTAAAAATGCTTTTTGGATAGATGTTTTTTAAAAGCTTATATTTTTTTTACAGATAAACTTTGTATAGACAGTTTAGAACAAAGTGTTACAAATGCCATTGTTTTAACAATGCATAAACTTGTTAGCAGGAAATAGAATACTTTTTTTATATCAAAAATTTTTTTATGAAAAAGGAATCAGATTTGTTAAATGATATTATTAATCCCCAGGCGATTTTGTAGATTTCCTTACTTAGAGCAGGTGACACAAACAAGTAAATTTTTTTACAAATCATCATAGTTTTGAAAAAAGCAATATTATTATATACACAAAAGCTTAAACATTTCTATTTGTAAGATTTTATTAACGTTCAAATACCCTATTATGAGTTTGTTATAAAACCTATTTTAATTACACAAAATATCAAAAAAGAAATATGTTTTATGATATTCTAGTTAAAAACAAGATGTACCAACAATGTCAAGAAAAATGGAACTCATTTTTTACAAAATTTTATATAATGTTTGAAATTTGAAATATATAGTTATGTATTTAAATGTACCAAGATTCCTATATTCAGTGGTTTCAGACAAGAATAATTTCATAGAACTTTAGCGCAACAAACTCACTTTTATTCAAATGAAAATTGTCAATAGTAAAATGTGTACTTTTTGCAATGCCAAGAGGAAACTCTGTTGCATTTATTTTGGGAAGTGTCCAAAAATTCAATTGTTATTTCAAATATCTGAAAGACAAGATAGATAATTTGTGAATGATAATTTTAATTGTAAATCATTTATTTTAGGTTTCTGAAAGTTAATGATTTTAAATATGATATTTTGTTTTTAGAATTGAAAAGATATATTTATTTGTCAAAGAGAAAAATCGTGTTACCCTACAATACCTGGTTTTAGAAATAGTCTTAAATTGGCGTGGAATTTTACAAAAATACAAATTTGACCAAACATGTAAATGAAGGATGGCAAATTGTAAGAACTTTAATAAACTAATAGGCTACACTAAATCAATTTACCCCAAACCAAATATTCTTTGTTTGGGTTTTGAAGCTGTTTGCATAATATATTATCATACATAATGTTATACCATATTATATGAAAATTGATTGAATGTTTGAAATATAATGTATATTATAATTATATAAAATATTATTTATATAGATGATGATTAAATATTATGTATATATCATGTAAGGTATCAGAGGGATGACCCCGACCCTCTCATACCTATTACGGGGTAAATAAACGGGGTTACCCAGTTGTGGGCCTCAAAAAAAAAAAAAAAAAAAAAAAAAAAAAAAATGAAGTAAAGTGAAGCATACCTTAGTAGAACTATGTGTAAACTGTTAATAAGCCAAGGATGGGCATATAAAAATCTTATTACTAACATAAACTACCTAATAGTTTCCGACTGGTAAAAATCAGCACTTGGCCGCCATATTGCCAAAATGTTTGACCACTTGATTACGAAATTGACCATAATGGGTTAATTTGCGCGGATGGTTAAGAAAGCAGAACCTATGTGCTTCCATCTTTTATAAATCACTTTTTTTAAAGATATTGAAAAAGGTGATTTACTAAATCTATCTATCTCTGAGTTACTGCCAAAAATCCTCTCGCGAAGTGTTATAGGCAGGAAAAATTGTGGCGCGTCGGGTGTAGTTTGTAAAGGTGTGAGAGAAAGTAAAAACCTGAAAATGAAACATGATCAGGACAGTGAGAGACTTTGAAAACTTCTAGTCATTGTTAAAATATTTTTATTAGTAAGGGTGAAAGTAAGATTTAAAAAGTAAAAACCACAACAAGTCAACTAATACATGTATCTTAAGGGGGACTGGTGTTTGGTTGGATCTAGATCAGGCAGGGGTGAAAATGTTCCTTGGGAAGCTGGTTCCCCAAAGTGGTGATACAGTGGGGGAAAGAAGAGAACTATATGGTAGTCTGATGTAACCTGTATTTTCCCTAAGAGAGAAGGGGGTGCATATGTCTAGTAAGTTGCCTAGGATGGAGGTTTTAATGTAAAGGTGGGGAAGGCTAAATGGCTACAGATTGGGCAGCACGAAAATACCCGCAAATACACCCAAATAATAACCCCCAAATATTGCCCCAAATATACCCAAATATTGCCTAAATAAACCCAAATATTTGCCCAAAATTATAACTAAAAAATAAATGTTTTAATCCTAAAAAAGTGCTTTTTTTATATGAATACAATATTACAATTTTTTCCCACTAAGATATAATCAAAACCATACCCAAATACATGTATCATTTCCCTATCATTGGTGTTTTTGACAACAAAACCAGTCTATAGACACCATTATTCTTTTACTTCTTTAAATAACAGGCACACTTGTATAAGATATGAATTTTAAAACAACAAAATTACACACTTAAAAATGTAAGTGTAGACAACCAAAATATAATATCTTGAAATTTAAAATTGCAAGTACAATTCATAAAGAACCATGGTGTACTAAGGATTAGCAAATGTCACAACTTTATTTTCTACCAACAATCGTAACTGTCCATTTAACGGAATGAATGAAAAATTAATAGCAAGCCTAAGGTCAATATATATTTAATAAAATATTTATCTAATTCTCATTTATAACCCTTATATTTTATACAAACAAAAATAAATAATTGCTATAAATTTGGGGGTATATTGGGTATTTCGTGCCGCGACCTTAGATTATGGTAAACTTTAAAAAACATAATAAGTCTAAAAGTCTAGTCTGCGATGCTCGAGAGAACGCCAGCCAAGATCTTTCTGCATGGCTGTAACTGATGACAAAGACTGATTTACACATGTACAGACTTTTGTATTCAGTATAATTTTATTTAAGTAATAAAAATAAGAGAAAATAAATAAAAACATTATTTTGAATTATTAATATTGAAATCATGTCAACAAAGATGTTCTAAATATAGAACATGACTCTAATCAGTTCCCGCAAGTGACGTCATACAAAGTCTCGCGTAGCTCCTAAATGTCATGTAGTCGGCGCAGTTAAATAGGCAATTTCAATGACAGTATTTATATATTGATACTTTAAATGGTATATGAAGATATTGAAAAATTGTTTTAAAATTGCAAAAAATGTACAAAGAATTAATTGGGACAAAGGGTATTTGGAAAATGACAAATTTAAGGCTAAATTCCAACGTATGTCATTCTGTTCGTAACGGGTCCTAATACATAAACTTAAATTGCCGGCATTAGAAGATGAAAAACAAAAAATGTTTAAAAAAGCGGCTTATCAAAGTTTTGGAAGCAAGAATAGTTGAAACCGAAAGTTGCAAATGTTAAAAAATGGGCGTCCGGTGTTCTATATTTATATTTCTGGTAGGTTATTTTGATAATAATTAATAATGACAAAATAATAAACACATTCGTAAAATAACAAATAAACTGCTGGGGTAATATCAATCATATTATTTCCAACAGAAATATAGTTTTCAAATAAGAAAAATATATCACAGCTCTACCTTGTTTATATGGCGATTATGTCAACAATCAATTACCGAGCAGGGTGCGCGAAAATTTAATCCAAAAGATGATAAAATGAGAGCGAAAGAAAGGAGATGAAGAGTTGTTTCTAAAGGGACAACTTCTTTTTTATTGGAATAGATTTAGTTCGGCTTTTTTTTTTGAATAGAATATTTCATTTGATCACGTTTACAAAGCGATGCCTTAAACATGAAATTAGTTGACCCTTTTGATAAGAATGTATCTCAAAGCAGAGATAATTTCATGTAAAATCAACTTTAAAAAAGTTACACGGATGATTATTTTAAACATGATTTATAAGTTAACCTATAACTGCATGAGCATATTGTGAAAAATGTTTTTTTATTGAAAAGCCTCCTGTAACAAGTTCAAACTGCTATGAAACTATAAAAAAAAAGCTGCAATACTGATCAAACTTGGCACACATATTTTGTAACAGTATGCTCAATCTGAAATTTCCTTAAGTAGTTTTTTTTCAGATTATTTTTTTCACAATACAAATCATTTATGCATATACATACAATATATAGAGATATAAATAGTTCTTTGGAATGATAATGCCCTGGAACTTGTTTAAGCTGTTTATTTCCTGAAAATTTTATAATGTTTAGCCTATATTTTTATTTTTTAAATGCAAAGACATTTTAACATTGCTGTATCATTATTGAACTAATGTTTAACATGTCCACTGTTATAAGGAATAAAGAGCATGCCATAAATATAACGCAAATAGAACATCAAATAAGGAAAACCGATATCTTTACAACATTGAATATGAGATGTTAGAAATAATATATATGCTCAAATTAACATTTACCATGTATTTAGAACAAACGGATCATCTGACCAGTGCTTTACATAATCCTGAAGAAACGACCCTTGGAAACTGGAATTATTTGACTGACACAAATTGCTCCCTTCATTGTCTTCAAGTTTTACCGTATCCGCATTTTTAACCTCTAAAGGATTTCTAATAATATCACAGTTATTTCTGGAGACAACTTCTTTTTTATTTATAGATTTATTTCGTTTTTGTGAATAATTCATTTGATCACGTTTATAACGCGATGCCGCTAAGCTATGGGCAGTTTCTGGTGAAGCTGGAATGCTTTTTGGAATCATTGCTTTACCACCTTTTCCATTAGGATTGTGAAGTGGAAAACTGTCCGTGAAAAACACTTCATCTTCTATATCACCTCTATAAAATTAATTCACTGCCAAAGGCTCTTTGCTAGAGTCAATGACGTATAAATGGCCCTCAAACATAATTTTATTGCAATAGCCTTCCACAGGTATGCTTGGAACCTTGGCCTAGAATTAGGCGATTGATTTGGACAGATTCAAATAAATGATTTCTCAGCTGAGAATTATTTACATTTTGAATAAAACAATCAGGTTTTACTTTCTTGCGGCGTTTCAGTTTTTTCCTCTTTGTTTGAAAATATTTTCTTAGATGTTGAGGAGTGTTTTGTTTTGAATGTTCTTGTCACTGTAGGGAATCACTTGATTGATAAACTAAGCCTCTCAATAGCTGTGCTAATGTCCACAAGAGAGTCATTACTAGGTGGTCTTATATTGGGATAAAATTCAGCGGTACTTGAACTGCTATTCCTAACTTTCGGTTGAAACGCCACACTACGAGTTCTTCTATCTGATTCATTTGTTAGGTCATTATACCCGCGTTGTTCGATTACCTCGCGTAACGGTTCTACTGAACATGTAACACGACTGCTGTCAGTTGCTTTATCTAAATCATTTATAACATTTAATGCATCAATTGCATCAACAAGATATTCTTCTCTAGATATTTTTAATTCATGTGTAGCATTTGGTGTTACTTCTCTTATTTCTTTTGACTGAGGCTGGTCAGGTTTTCTGACTTCTGATACATGGAAGCCGAGGTTACGCAGCCGATCCAATCGTTTTGACGTTGAAAACATATCCGACAGAGATCGTTTAAAAGATTGTTCTTTCTTCTGAAATTCTTTTCTGCTGTGAAGAAATGGTTTGATGTGTGTCCAATCTGAGCCGAAATCTTTACCATTGTCAAAACTAAAGTCGGGAATGTTTTTATTTCTGCTAACAGAAGCTGACACAACTTCGCCTTTCTCTATGTCAACTTTAAGATCCGCGTCATGTAATGAAGACCAATTCTATCAAAAGATAAAAGTGTTTCACTTTTTGTGTGTGCAAATTTGTTATGCTTTAAATATGTGTCGATACATCGCATCATTGTATCAACATATATCACATGTCCTCGTATACCCACCCATTGCACGTCAGAATATTAATACGCCATTTTAAATTGAAAACATTGTTTTCTTTAAAATGATCGTAGGGTTCTAGCTTATTGCCATCATTACTTATCTCTGTTTCTTGTTACAAAAAAACAAACTAGATAATTGTTAGTTATTTTAAGTAAACTCTGAAAACTTACTCATACTATTGACAGTTTAGCATCACAATAACAAAGGATAATCAATATGACAGAGTCTGGTAGGTTAACCTTTCAAAAAAAGGTAACATCTATTGATATCTTCATAGCTGTTTAGGTAAAACAGCCTTATCATTATTATGTAGTCAATTTTTTGTTCAGAAAGGCAACTTGGAGAAGCAAAAGCGAAAACATACTCACTTTTCTAAACGAGTTGTCCCCCTTGCGACAATATACACTTATCAGTAATACAGTTGCGATAAAAGCACATATTGTTGGAGCACCGATAAGAAAAATGGTAACCAGTGAAATATTTGAGTCAGCGGCGACATCGGTGGGGGTTTGTAACACATTTCTAGACAAGAGTTTAACTGACGAAATTACCTGCAGAAATACAAATGATTATGATGCAAACATATTTTCTGCTTAGGTTATATGTGACATTTGAAATCTTTGCTTTTTTCCAAACAGAGGAAAACAATATGTAAGAAAATCTTAACTTAAAACATTAAGATCTCATTTATTTGAAGAGGTTGTTTTCCTTTCAAGAAATTGTTTTTTTAAAGTTTTATTTGAATGTGAAAATGGTTTTCACACCTGCAAATGGTCTTACCGGAAATGTCATATAAGCACTAGTTTCAGCTATTGTGAGTCTAGAAAATATGACTACAATTTCAGCCGGGGATTGAATAATTCCATCCACAAGTACATAGAAATCCACATCAACGTGAGAAGGTTCAGATTCCTTTCGTTCCATACCAAAAATCTGTACAGACAAAGATTTTTCAGTTAATATGACATAACTAAACACATTTGTAATCTTACAATACAGAACACTTGCAAATTTTAACATTATAGTGCTATTGAAAACTTTCACTTATATATCGAACGCTCCATGATTGTTTTGGTTGGGTTTTACGTCGCACCAAAACAAAGTAGGTCATATGGTGACATTCCAGCTTTACTGGTGGATGAAGACCACCAGGTGCCCCTGCGCGCATTATTTCAGGCACACATGGGTACTTGAGTAGAACCACCGACGTTAAGCTAGCCAGATAGCTTCCTACATGAAAGAATCCAAAGCCCCTGTCGGGATTCGAACCCAAAGCGGTGAGGGGCAAATGGTTTGAAGTCGACGATCTTAACCACTTGGCAAGGGACGCCCACTTCGCTCCACGAATAATCGGGTGGAAGTTAAATGATGACTTTTTTTTGGAAATAATGTTGAGTAAAATATATATTAAGGTATAAACCTCAACTGTTACGTTAGCATCAGCATTGGCTCTTTTCTTTCTGTAACTATCTTTGTCAGCTTTGAGGCCACCTTCGATGAAGCATCTTTTAAGACCTAAAATGCCACACAATGTCAAATATTAAATAATAATAATAATAATAAGTGATTCTTACATTTATTATATCAGTTTTATTGAAACGTAAATAATACAACTTTTGTACTAGATTTTAATCATCTTACATCTTAAACTGATATTGTGGTAAAGTAATTTATTAGATAAGTGCGAATTAAAGACCTTTCGTTTTTTTTAATGATTATAACTTTATACATATATCTAACGATACCTAATCGACATGAAGAAAGACATTGCTATTTATTGTTCAATATGTGTATACCTTCTTTAATTTGAATGTTAACTGCGTGACTGTCAATGTTGACCGAAGTCTTCACAATTATACCAACGGTTAAAAGCAAATCCTTGTCAATATTTCTTGGTAATATACTAGTGGATGTTTCTATCACTGTTAATGGCAATATAGACGATGATGCAGTAGAAGTTGTCGCCAATAATTGATCACGTGTTGATAATGACACCTGTAAGACATCTTTACTTTTCGTAGAAGAAAATGAATCTTCATTTCCAACAGAAGATGAGGTTAAAGTTAACTCTGATGTCACGCTGACGGATAACTGATATCTCAAGGACGGCAAAGGAGTTGTCTCTTGAAATCTGTGGGATGACAATGTTCTGCTTGAAGGTATGATTGATTGTTTTGACATTTGATCTTCTATATCTATTTCAACTGTCTTAGAAGGTGATATTCCTATTTGAACCCTAGAATCTGGTAGGTGCAAATCTTCCGTATGTACAATCAATGATGGAGTTGACGTTAAACTATTCATTCCTTGTGATAATGCAGACGTTATTTCAGATGTTAAGCTTGACGAAGTATATATTGAAGAACTTGTTTCAGATACTTTAGAAGACAATAACACTAATGATGTATACGATAAATCTGATTTGAATGTCCGTTCATCTTTTCTTGTCATAGAAACCAGAGTATCTGTTGTTATTTGTGGATCATCTGTTTCTTCTGAAACTGTTGACGAAGGTTCTTTTGTGAAATATTGGTTTGGCGTTGTTGATAAAGAGAAAGTTTCAAAGTTATAAGTTGAAGAGACTTCAACGGTTTCAGTATCTAATTTAGATAGTGATGGTTTAAGTCTTGTCGATAAAGACGATGATCGAATGGATGTTGGTGTTTCCGAGTTAAATAAATCTTCAGTTTGATTCTGAACAGTTCCAAATAAATGAAGCGACGAAGGCATTTCGTTCGGGTTTGTTATAAAAGATGACACTCTAAATATTTTTGATTCTAAGTCTGATTTAAAACCTGTCCCATTAATTGTCTCTGAGATATCCAATGAGCGTGATGTAATTCGTTCGGTACGTGGTTTTTGTAGCTGTTTTGAAATTGTTGTTGGAAAAAGAGAAACAGAATAACTTGAGATGAAATGCATTTCAGTCACAGGCATCGATGATACTAGAGGAATTGTTGAAGACGATGAAATATGTGAAGCGTTCTCCCTCAACCCGCTTGAAGTATATGACAACGAATCTGATAAATATGTCCCACTCAATGAGGAGGATAGTTTTTTCGGCAAATGACTTCCCGTTAATATCACTTCAGTGCATGGCTTTTCTGTTGTTGGCATTGAACTTTCTGATGATATAACTCTATTATCATACGAGGATGGTGTATCAAAGATTGATGACTCTGGGTGTGCTGACAATTCGTATTCGAAAGATGATGAATATGTATTCGATATAAAATCTTCCTTGAATAATGCCGGTGATTTTGATGAAGTCAATTCCACTTCTGAAAGTTGCAACAATGATGACGATATTAAAGCAATTAATTTCACTTCTGGATCTAATGATCCCGACAATGTCGTAAATAAGTTAACATCTAAATCTGATGATGACGGCAATGAGGAGAATGTTTCTGAAGTTAATTTCAGCGTTGCATCTGCTGTTAGCGGCAAAGAAGAGAATGTGGAAGAACTTAATTTCACTGTTGCATCTGCTGTTTGCAGCAAAAATGAGAATGATGAAGAACTTAATTTCACTGCTGCATGTGATGATGGCTGCAATGATGTGAATGTTCCAGAACTTAATTCCAGTGTTGCATCTGATGACGGCTGCAATGTTGAGAATGTTGTAGAACTTAATTCCAGTGTTGCATCTGCTGTTTGCAGCAAAGATGAGAATGTTGAAGAACTTAATTTCACTGTTGAATCTGATGATGACAGAAATGTTGAGAATGTTGAAGAACTTAATTTCACTGCTGCATCTGATGATGGCTGCAATGTTGAGAATGTTGAATAACTTAATTTCACTGTTGTATCTGCTGTTTGCAGCAAAGATGAGAAAGTTGAAGAACTTAATTTCACTGCTGCATGTGATGATGGCTGCAATGATGAGATTGTTGAAGGATTTGATTTAACTTGTGCATCTGATGATAGCAACAATGATGAGAATGTTCCAGAACTTAATTCCAGTGTTGCATCTGCTGTTTGCAGCAAAGATGAGAATGTTGAAGAACTTAATTTCACTGCTGCAAGTGATGATGGCTGCAATGATGTGATTGTTCCAGAACTTAATTCCAGTGTTGCATCTGATGATGGCTGCAATGATGAGAATGTTGAAGAACTTAATTTCACTGCTGCATCTGATGATTGCTGCAAAGATGAGAATGTTGAAGAAGTTAATTTCACTGCTGCATGTGACGATGGCTGGACTGATGTTAATGTTGAAGAACTTAATTCCTGTGTTGCATCTGATGATGGATGCAATGTTGAGAATGTTGAAGAACTTAATTCCTTGTTGTTGCCATCTGATGATGGAAAGCAATGTTGCAATGATGGA